TTAGCATGAGGAAAATCACGCAAACCAACTATACAGCTAGCTATTTTGCCTAGGAATCTAACCCGCGTTATAATCGCAGAATTCAGTTATCTTAACCACTCGGCCACCAGCGAAGGCTAAAAAGACAGCAGAATTTGTCGCAGAATCTCCAATGACACTTGTCTATTAATGATTTTCTACATCTTATGATCTGTAACTTACTGGTTTCTCTGCTCTGTTGTATTTTTGTAGGTACGCCCAGCCACTGCAGTGGTAAGTTACTCTGAATGTAGTACCCATGTAGTTCCTATCCGAAGAATATTAGAATGTTTGTACGTGTGTGAGTCTGTACGGTAAAGGGAGCACTCAGAATATACGGTAAGTGGAAATCCTCTCGAGAGGTTAGGGTAGGAAAAGACAGGTGACAGACCTACGGACTAACCCACTCCGGAATACTTTTCCTCAGAATTAAATGAAAGATTAAGAGTTAGCAAGATCCAGCGATACCTACTCTATACCTTCGGCAAGGCGCAGGTGACGGCTAATCTGTATCTGCATATTCATAGGACAATTGTTGCTTGTCTTTTCCAGTAGGTTACATTTTTAATGATTTTCTTCTAAAGCATTATGTGTAGAGTAATCAGAAATTTTACATGCTGGAATTTTTACTGGAAAACAAAAAACAGAAAAAAAATTAATGTGGCTGCGATATTCATTACATTATTTTTTTTTTCAATTTACTGTAACCAAATAACCAGCAACATGTGGTACAGCTGTAGCCTTTTCTTGCTAATTAAATTATCACTGAATTTCTCACTGATATTCTTTTTTTCCATTCCCTTAAAAAAGCAATAATGAGTAGTGAATTCTTGAATGAAGAGTTCATCCTAGACTATCATAGTAGTGTTATATGAATAACAACTGAAGATAAATTATGCGGATGTTCTTTGTTTCCAGACTCAGATTAAAATTTTAATTTGAACTTCTTCCTTCCTCCGCGCGTTGATTTGAGCTACTTAACAATAGAATCATTCTCCTTGCTCTTCTTATTTAGATGCGCCAGACGGACTCTATTAGCCTTACCGCCTAACTGAGTAACTCACAAGATGCGCATTTAATATTAATATTAAACGTATATTTAATTCCTCACCCCAACTGGTATAGCGGTTAGTGACTTTGACCGCTATACCGAAGGGTTCGGGTTCAAATCTAGAGTGCCTATGCGGCATGAGGGCATTCTAAATATGTGGCGAGCCGAACGTCCTGTCGAGTGGTTGTTAGTAGGAAAAGAGAGGGGAGACATTTAAACCCGTTCCCCCCCCCGAGGTGCTATCTACTTTAACCAATATGAGCCCAGGGCTCTTGCAAGTGACAGGCGCAATCTCACCTCCTTGCCCCGATGAATTTCCCGATGCCTGCTCTAATATCTGACGAGAGAGTTTGGTTACAACAACAGAAGAAAGCAACACATATAGATGTATCAAACTATATAGATGATGTACACTGCTCAAAACAATTAAAGGATATTGTAAGTTTTAGATAAATAAAGATATCGAAATTTTTTTTGCCGAAAAGGGAAGAAGAGAATCACAATGCAAATTTTTGATTTTCAATCTGTGGAGTTGCTAATTGAGTTCGACGTCAAAAATGTCGCTTACGGCAGCGAATGAAATTTGACTTTCAACTGAAAAGACAAGAAGACAAGGATGATCGGCATTCAGTGACTGCTTTGTTTCGATGTAGATGTCTAGGAAGTCATTAACGATTTAGAAGCTTGAAGAGTTGTTGGTAGGTTAGAAGGGGGCCAAACTCAAGCCGAAGTAGCTCAAGCCATTGGAGTGTCACAAAGTGTGATTTCCGGATCTAAACCGTTTTTTAGAACTGGAAGTGCGGCGAAGACCAGGGCAAGGTCGTAGCTGGCAACAACGCCCAATGAAGATCGTTATTAGTGTTAACGACTCGGAGACACCAAAATATGAATGTACTCTTCTCCAACCACCTTCGCTCGGCTACTGGCACCACGGTTTCAACTCAGACTGTCCGAAACCGACTCTATGTGTCGTCTGTATTCTGACGACCGATGGTATGTGTTAGACTAACATAAGGCATCTTCGCGACGCAGGGAGTGGGCAACAGAGCATGTGAACGGAGAGAAATGAATGGAGCAATGTTCTTTTTCTGACGAGTCAACTTTTTTTCTTCATCCTGAATAGGCGTTTTTCATCTGGAGGGCCGTGGCAGTAGGAATAATCTGCGTTCGCAGAAAGTGTCAGATTTGGCGGTGGGGGGAGTTTGGTGTATGGTGGCATCTCCATTGACGGGCGCACAGACCTCCTAATCATTCGAGATGGACCCTGATGGTCGCCGATATAAGGATGAGAGTCTCAGACCTATTTAGTCCCTACGGCTGCAGCAATTGGAGATGACTTCATTTTATGGACGATAACTGCAGGCTACATCGTGCTACCTGCTGGAGGATTCCTTTTCGAGGAAGGAATCGTACGAATGGAATGCCAGCGTGTTCTCCAGACAGAATCCAAGAGCACGTTTGGGACGCTCTAGGAAGACGATTTGCTGGCCGCCAACCACCCCCACAAACTCTTAAGAACTGGAAGAGCTCTTCTGGAAGAGTGGTACAGAATACCCAATTCGTGATTATGCCTCATTGACTCCATGCCTCAAAGGTGTTCAACGTTGCTGGCGGCCGGAAGCCATACCCCCTACTGAAAATGATTTCCTTTGAAGAACACCTTTCTTATTCTTTTTTTCTCATATGCAGAATTGTGCTTTTTCTTTTACACAAATGCGGAATAAATGCAATTTTTCTGCCAACATGTATATTATTCTCAAACCTACTAGTGTCGACCATGTATCAATCAGCTAAAATGTTTCCCAGCCACAAGATCCACCTAAAACCGCAATATCCTTAAATTGTTTTGAGCAGTGTATTTATGTAGAGTAACGAAAAGATATATTTACCTGCAATTCAAACATTAAAAAATTAACTCGTAAACATTGCATTGTAATAAAATGCCTCTTAAAAGATTTCTCAATCAATCATTTTAAAAAAAAAATTACGCAACATTAGAAAACAAAATGTAAAATATCGTACAAATATCTATGACAGTGAAGTCTGCTCTCTATCTTCGTAGTTTGATCTATTTTAAATGATGACGCTAGTACTCACAAATTGTAAACTTAAAATTTTTACAGTCGTCTAGTTACAGGTGCGAACCTTCATTTATTTAAAATATTGATGTAATATTACTATATAGTTGGTATAAATAATAGATATAAAAATATAATTCCTGAAAAATGCTGTCAGAAAGCCCAGATAATTTTTTAAAGGATTTTACAATCATTATTCGACTTATACAAAATATAACAGCAAAAGTGAAAAAAAATATCTACTGCATTAAGGAATGCCAATAATGCATGTTTAAACGGACGCGACATTATAAATACCGGAAGCAATAACATCTCTAAGAGGTATTTTCAAACAGTACAGTCTTTAAATCAGCTACAGTTCTAATTTTTTTTTTATTATTATTACTTGTAACAGTTTTTTTTTATTCTCAATATTCATACGTCATCAGGAATATAAAATTAGTTAATTATGAAAAATGTGAATTCTGAAAGCAGAAAAACTTAAGTAACAATTTCAGACATAATAGGTTGCACACATGATTTTCGTATGTCTGAATGTCAGTGGAATAATTCTATTGTTAGAAACCCTTATCGAAGATACAGGCCTTAGCTAAATGGTATAAATTGAATATTGTATTACCCTAATTCTTTGAAACCAATATTTTCTGTTAGGAAGATTTCATATACATACTAGTAAGTTCTTAATTAATACATATGCTAAATAACAGATTACTGATATCGGAAGCAGAACCTTAAAATTCATATTATTGCTAGAATATTAACATTATATTTAATTTAAAATAGAAAGCACAGAGCGTCATACACATGTAAGATGATAAGAATAGTAAGATGGCATTATTCTATAATCTATATCAATGACAGAAATCTCAGCTGCGATACTATTGCTATCATACTGGTATAATGGATCAAAATGACAAGTAATAAAAGTTTAAAATGAAAAAGTGTAGATTTAAGAAGATTTTTCCAGTACTTTGTCCATCAGAATCAATTAGAAGTTCTCCCGGTATACCGGTATAATTCTTTTAAACTAGAGTATAACTTTTAAAAACGGAGGAAAATTTTTGTAATTCATCAGAATACAGCTACGGTCTCGAAAATCAATGTTTTTACCTTAAATACGCAGATAATAATATCAGAAGCTGTTTCTGAAATAGTTTTTGCAAATTAAAATTGCATAAAACCGACGGTCATGATAAAAACTAAATGAGCAAATGGTGAAATATCGCTATCATATCAGAAAGATGGTCTTTAAAATTTAAAATTTCTTTCACCGAATGGGTTAATAATAGAAATTAAGATAATGTACAGTAAAAAAAATCATTTAAGACTGCAAAAAAATAATTTTTTATTTCCCTAGCAGAAATCAATTTTACATCAAAACTTATCGTTGAAATTACTATTGCACTAGATTTACATCATTATTATAATAACTCAACTTTTTTTTGTTGTGTATATTGTAGATAAGCAGGTTGTCCATAAATATTCACAGTAGGAATTTCAGAACAACTGAGACGTCACGTTGATTACTTAAAAACATTATAGTGCTAGAACTTCTTTTAGATAAATTTAATGCATCTAAATATTTGAGTTTCACGCTCTTTTTCTAATGTATAATAAATTTATGAGAGATCACTAATTTGAATAATATAATATTTTGATTTAATTTCTAAATTTCTTTAGTTTCTTTTTTAAAATACGAACATTTTTAGATATTTTATATTAACCTGATAGAAATAAAAAAATCATGTTTCAGATTCATAAAATAATTCTTAATTAGTAATAATTTGAAGCATTCATGTAGTTGCAATTTACAAAATAAATTCAAATGTTAAATTAAAAAAATGTTTTCTTACCTGGGCCGCTAGTGAGTAGAAGTACAGTACAGAAAGGCACAGCTAAGAGTGTGACAGCAATATAGAAAGATAGCATTGCCGGCCGGCGAGCTAAGCAGAAATATCGACTGACACTGTTATTGATGATGGTTGTCATGTTCTCTGATTTTTCACCGACAATAAGTTCACAGTCTTCAATTTCTCTACCTCTCTTACCGTGACCAAGAAAAAAATTAACAGTTTAATTTTTCTGCTTCGTTATAATTGATATGCACAAAATTCTATCTGGAAATTTATTATTTCAGTAAAAAGTTAGTGATTAATAGGCTTTATAATTGTTTTATACACTTTTACTGTGTGACTTTAGAGTTATAATATATTTAATAATAACAGTAACTGCTTTTCTTTTATTTTGAAAAAATATGCTTCGCTAATGGTTGTATACCCCCTTCATCACAGTTTTTAGGATATTAATTTATTGGATAGTTTGATTATCACAAATATTTCTGAGATAAGCGTATTTTCAACAAATTACGAAGTTTGGAGGGTTTATCACATGTCAGATTCGTGGTGAACGCTTCGAAACAAAGAATAAACATGCCCTAAATTTTTCGAGCAATCGAATAACCTCGGCTAAAGTAAAGCGTTAACATTTAAGAAAATATAATTTCTTTTAGCGGTTACTTTACGTGACAGTTGCGAAGGGTTTGATGCCATATGAGACTCTTTGGACACTGGCTCCTAACAGCCAATTAGAGAGAAGCACACGGCTTACTTCGCTCTCGATACGCTGAGTTCTCCTAAACGGAACTGGAGGTTGTAGCTTTTTACTAGTCTGCTGGCGCATAGGTGGCGTTCCAATACAACCGGCCTATTGGAGCACGTGACTCACCGGATGGATAAAACGCGTGCTATGGATCTTACGCTTCCCCCTCATCCCTTTTCTTTCCAAAATGATCGTGGAGGAGTTCCTGGAAGTTGGAAATGCTAAAAAAGCAGAGAGCAAATTTTAGAAGGTAATAGAAAATTTATAGCGGAACTCGGTATTTCTAAAAGTGGAACAAAATGCATTCTCCTCTTTTTTCTCTCTAATATATTATTTCAAAAGGATACTGAAAGTTCAGCGTGCTGCATTTTTTGAGTTTAAATTCTTAATTTATGTCTCATCTCCAAGATTGCACTTTCCAACATTTTCGCTAAAGACAATTGCATTATTTATGATTTGCAGTTTCTGTTTAAAGGCGCCATAATCAAATTTTTAGACATCCAAATTTTATTTTGTCCAAAAGAACATGAGAATATCGTCTAAAGGAAATGTTTTTATTCAGCAGAATATTGAAACTATAAGTTTATAAATTCCGAATCTAGTCACATCTTTAAAATAATGTGCGTGATTAAAGTTTTACACATTCAACATTAAATAATTTTTAAACTATTTAATTTTTACAAGTACGGAGAAAGGAAGGAGGGACATTTAAAGTTTCCTTTTTTTTTATAAGGAATAAAGTTTTATTTTGAATAAATTTCAAACCGTTGAAGATGATATGAAAAACTACTGAGAGAAAATATTTTTACAGAATTTAATTCTTGTACTGTCTTTCTCCTCACCGTCCCAGTATGCCTTATTCATAATCAATCAAGTTATAAGGTATTTTCTCCCTGCTTTCTACAAGTCCTAGTGGTGTAACGGTAGCCCACTCGGCGGGCATTCGAGAGGTCTAGGTTCAAGTGTCGACGGGTTCATTGATCATTTTTCATGTCTTCTGCTTCAGAATAACCTAATGTCTCTACAAAATAATATTGTATAATTAAAACAGCACAATAACCCTTGAATAACTTAAAGAAGAACCCCTCGTGTGATCGAAAATGAGTGTATAACGTTTGACTTACAGACTTCCAGAATATTAGTCATTTATAACCTAATCTTGACTGGGAAATCACGGATAAACAGAAAGAATTAATAATTTCGTACGTTTTATATCTTATGCTGCATAGAAATTATTCTATTGTTCAAAATGTAGACCTAGGAAAGGAACTATAGTAAATTAAATGATAGGGTTAGTAAAATATACCGTTAACCTTGTATTGTACTCATCATATGCATGTATGTGAGGAACAATCACCTTTGCCCCTTTGCCCGTGCGTGCTTTTATAATGTAACTGGTAGCGCGTCTGGCTGGCAGTCGGCAGTTTCGTGGCTCAAATCCCGTGTAACACATAGTTGATATCCTACGTCTGCTAATACGGAAAACTTTAAGTTCTCTATGGCGGCATCTGTATTAAAATGTGCTTAACGATCATTTGTCATCACCTGAATACGGTGGAGGGGATCTCGACCTTCCGTTAGTAGAGTTTTAAATTGGGATAGCACAATGAATTTCCTCCTTCAACCGTGTGTGCTCTCGTGGCGTAACTGCAGGCGAAATATTCATACATTGAAACCTGGTGAAAGTGTATCTAATTTTTCAAGTTTTCTGCTCCGAGAAATATAACGCTCTCTCTGTTTCCTAGATAGCTTGCAATGTATTAGTACCTTCATTAATTGGCCTTTCATTACAGGTGAGATAAATCTTAAATCTTTCTGTATTCTAAAAGACTGTCGAATCTTCTGAATTCTTCGCATAAGAATAAATCGAAAAGGAAAGAAAAACAAAACGAGTGTCGCCTTAGTACATGTATTTGTAGGTAAGATAAAGCTAAATTTGATTGATGGATCCCTCATCTTAAAGGGCGACTGAGAAGGATATCGAAATCCAAATTGTGGTGAATTATAATTTACGACATTTTAGTTCGGGCGTCACTGCAGAGACTATTAGATGTTTTTGAAATTACTGAATGGGATAAATCAACTATATCCTCCTCGGGATTCGAACCGCGGATCTTTCGGCTGCCAACCAAACGTATTACTATTAACATGGACAAAAGGAACGTGATTATTTCTTATAAAGATTCGAATAATTAAAAAGTCACGACGAATTGAGTTTTCGAATCTGGCATTTTCTTTCAAAATTCGATTTTCTCAGGGTTTCTCAAGACTCGAGAATTCGAGCTTTGCAGTGGGCTTTATTACCTTCTACGATACTAAACTCTGAAAGTAAAGTGCTAGATTCAATAATTGAAAAAATTGTGCAGTATATTTGTATGTGGTTTATTGCAATAAACGATAAAAGAATCCAGTGTTGGTAACCATGGCGTACTGCGACAATCCTATGATAATCTGAGCGTTCGTCTTCAAATTTCTTTTAGAATTTCAAAACAATTTCCTAACATACTAAATGAAAAACGTCGATGTACAACTCAGTCGCGCTGTTCAAGTCTTCTTTATTCAAGGGTTATGTCTTTTAAATAGCTTTAATGTACTTCTTCTAAATCCATTTTCGCGACAAAGGGAACAATTCGTTTTCATATTTTAAACTTCTTCTGTAGGATAAGCGATGGTTGTTTAGGATGGATCATTGTTTATCTAAATCATTGCTGAACTAAAGCGGTAAAACGGGAAACTTGGGATAAATTTATCCAAAATGTACATTTCACATACATGATGAAATAATTATTTATAAATTTAATAAACTGTCACGTTTGTCGATTATTTTTTTAATCATTGATATACCGTTTTGTTAATTTGAAACGTGACTAGTTTGAAATATAACCTGCAGATGCATTTGATTTCAGTCGTGAAGGAGTGTGGGTTCTTAAAACGTCGTAGTAATTCTTTCTTTTAATCGCATTGTATATTACTGTACATTGCTTCGCCACAATAAATTCTTAAGGTAAAAGAAAGATATTTTTATTCTGCCGCCGAATTTTTGCAGAAGTATTTTCAGCATTCGGCAGAAAATCATTAATTCTGACAAGTTTCAAGGCTTTATTTACAGCTAATAGATTTTTGTGTTTCATCATTCCTTAAAAGAAACTCAATTATACTAAGAAACGCTGTTTTAATTTGATTCTTTTGACCATACTTTATCCTAAAGAAACATAATAAACAGAGCTGGATTGTTTGCAGAACATTTTTTTATCATCATTTCGAATTTTATATTTTAAACGTAAGCATTATATTATCCTATAATAATCTGTAACATTTTTAAGTAAGGGTGATTTTTTACGGAAAATATGTTGTTGTAAACGCGATTTTACTATTTGCATATTTGTAACATGATTAATATTTTATTAAATAAAATAGTACTTCTTAATTTAAAGTCGTTGTTCAAGAAATACGTATGCAGATGTGAGGTTTATTTTGCACATAAGCTTTTCTTGAGAAAAATTTCTCTCTGATATATTAACTTCACATATCGCTTTTAATAAAAAATAAAATTTCTGGGAAATAGATTCAGGATATATATTATAAATCACCTCACATAATTCTTTCTTATCAGGGGTTAATACTCCAATCGAGAGATAACGACTTACACTCGGAAAATTATCAGCAAATGATGGATTCCTATAAAATTATGTATAATTTCAATACTGTGGTTTTTTTTATTTTTAGTGATATTATTTGATATTGTTTTTTATAGGTAAGAAGATATAGCTTATTGCAACATTGATATAAAATAAAATGATTTCATTGCGTAGAGTATTGGAAGGTATTATGATTTGTATTTGCTAACTGCACAGATATAGCAGAAAATTACATGCACATCCAATCGGTTCCAGAGCTAAATGTAAAACCTGAATAAAACTCTAAGTCATCAATTATTTTATTTGCTTCACAGTAAGTTTTGGGTACCTGAAACAATGCCTTAAACTAACTTTTAAATGCACATATTTTCACAATTAATTTAACCTTTGACGGAAAGTCATTCATTGAAATTTATCAGCAACAAAACAGAAATGATACAAGCTATTTTATGCACAAGAAAAATTTTGGAAAGATTTTTTACTATAACTTTATTTTATGTAGCTCTTTGTATTAAATATATTATAGTTTTCCTCTTTAAAAAGCATCCTTATATACCATGGTTGCGCATATTTTGCAAATATTGTCTAAATTCATGTTTAGATAATGCGATTGCAGAATAATTTATCTTACAATTAAACAATGATTCTTCAGTTATTAAAGTCTCCTAAATGAGTACTATCGTTTCAAAATAAACTTTACTCACAGCGTTCTTTTATTAGTAGTTAGTACTTCGGTTTGCTTTATTTGGCTACTGCAAAACACGTAAGGGCTATGTTCCTGAAGCTACGGATATCTTTGTCTAGGCGCCCTTTGTAAGGAGAGCTGGCTCGTATCCACTAGCAGTTAACAGTTATTTAAACCCCATGTTTTCAACATTGTGCTTTTATGTATAGTTTTGTGAAACAGATGTAATATAAGTTACTCATAAGTATTCATTTGAGCCATTTCTCAATGCATTTTCCCTGTAATGTGTTTACTGTTAATTAAGCGGAAATATATATGAAATATCAATTAATCAGCAGGGGCAACAAATCTATAAATAAAATTTCAGACCTCTAAATGAACTGAAATTTTTCATTATATTATAAATCTGTTTATTACAGTTACTTTTTTCTTTGAAAAACCCATCGCTTTCTGTATATAACTTGAGCTTAATTTTCTCCCCTCCCCTACGTTTAAACGAAGGAGCATGATATGTGTGAATGCCTTGTTTGAAATCGTACTTTCTCCTACGTCATTATTTATTTGGAGGAACGTCGGGGCAATTTCTTTGAACCCAATCCTCAAGCAGAACTTTCTTTTTGTTCTTCTTTCGCAACTTCAATCACTTTGTTCACATTCTAAGGCCGTTGGTGATTGATGAGGTTTTCTTCATCAACAAATTTACTATTGCAGCAAATTGACGTCAATATAAAGTTGTTGAACAAACTCTGTTATTTACCTCCTTAACATTTGCGAAGAATGTTGCAATTCTTTTAAAATGATTGTCTTTTCCATTTCTTTCTATTATTTTAATTGTCAAAGATGATACAGGTTTGTAGCACTGAGTTTTAAAAAAAGCCACATTTTTTTACCTTTGAGCGGGTATATTGTTTTTAAATTTTAGTGCAG